GAGCCTGTGCTCCGCAACGGGAGAGGCTACAACAGTGAGAGGCCCGCGTAAAAAAAAAAAAATGAAAAAAATAATGCTGCTATAAACATTCATGTACAGGTTTTTATGTGGCTATATGTTTTCATTTCTCTTGGGTATATACCTAAGAATGGAATTGTTGGGACAATTCTTACATGTTTGAATTCTTTAAAATGAGCACATAATTCTTTTACAAAAAACCAATTTAAAAAAAAGTCATTTTTCTGGGGACTTCTCTGGCAGTCCAGTGGTTAATACTCTGTGCTTCCACTGCAGGGGGCACTGGTTTGATCCCTGGTCAGGGAACTAAGATCCTGCATGCCATACGGCGCAGCCAAAAAAAAAAAATCGTTTTTCCAAAAAGATGATCTGAATCCATAGAAAAAAACAGTGCATCAAAATCTGTGATAGGGAAGAGGTGAGGACGGCCAGGACTGAGGCCACCACCTGGTGGTTGTGTGACTCTGAGAAAATCACAGCCCTTCTCGGGGCCTGGCCTGTGAAATGGGGGTGGGGCAGGGTGGACAGGGCAGCCACAGAGGACTGAGCTGGAATGAAGACTTCTCAGGGCCCACCCAACCCTGACAGCTCAAGGTCTTGAGGCGGGCTGGGTTTCCACACCTGGTTAGAGAAACAGATGAAGGAAATGATCTGGTCTTTTGAGTTCTCTTCCTGAAAGAATAAACAACATGATACTGGTGGTCCAGGCAACAAGGCCAAATTCAACCCAGAAGAATGTGTTAGGTCACTCCCTCTACAATTCCTCATTGAGATGAAGACATATTTAACTCTACCTGCTATTTATCTTCCACTCTAAACCAGTGCTTCGCGAACTAAAATGTGCATAGGAAATCCTGGGGATCTTAATATGCAAATACTGAATTGATAGGTCAGAGATTCTGCAATTCTAATGAGCTCCCAGGTGACGTCAATGCAGCTGGTACCCAGACCACAATTTAAATAGCAAAGGTCTAGGGACTTTCCCGGCCGTCAGCGCGGCCGAAATAAGTAGCAAGGCTCTCTCCCTTTGCAATTTTCTCATTATCCATTAGGAAAGCTGTCCATATTGGATGTATTTTTTTTAAATCGATCTCCTCCACTTCATTTTTTTTTTTCAGTTTTACTTTTTGACCGCGCCCCGCGGCATCTTAGCTCCAATCAAACCCGCGCCCCCTGCAGTGGAAGCGCGGAGTCTTAACCACTAGACCACCAGGGAAGTCCCTATTGGATGTATTTTAATGGATTTCTTGGAGTTGTTGGATGAGTAGGTGAATGAAAGAACGAAATGCTTCTGTCTGTCCCAGGAAGAGCGTAAAGGGAAACAATGTCATTTCGTCCTTGCAATAACACTGTGAGGTTAGAAGGTTGTCCCCATTTTGCAAATGGGGGGTGGGGGCGTGTTCAGAGAGGGCGGGCAAATGGCAGAGTTATGGCTTGTTCTTTGGTCTGACTCCAAACGTAGTGCCCGCTCCCTGGCACGGCTCGGTTCCCACTTCCCTCTCTCTCCTGCATCTCTGGAGCCGCCATTCAGCCTTGGATTTGGAAACACTTGCTAGCCCTAGACAGAAAAGGGGTTAAAGACACCTGAGCCCTAGGAGCCGCTCCCACAGACATGAAAATTTATGTGACAAAGATGTTCCCTGCAGCAGCCTTTATAACAGAGGAGAACTAGAAATTCCATTGCACTCAGTGGAATTGCTAAAAGATGACTTAAAACTATAGAAACTGCCTTCCTGTTAGCTTGTATCACTTGTTATCTCCTTCTTGGCTTTCATTACTACTTCTTGTTTGTTTCTTGTCTATGTCTGTTTCATCCACTAGAATGTAAATTATTTGAAAACAAGAACATTGTTGGGTCCCTAACTTCTGAGCAGGGGTTCAATAAATGTGGAATGAATGAACCTAAGCATTTTGCAATAGCAAGTAAAGAAGCCATTGCAGAATGTTATGCACAAGATGATTCTTTTTTTTTTTTTAAATGTTTGAATGCAGGCAGAGAAAAATCTCTAAGACCATATATTAATTATCTTGGGGATTGGGACTGGGGATTAGGTGTGGGTGATCCTCATTTTCCATTGTTTCATTCTGACTTTTTTTTACTACAAACATGAATTTCTTTAGTAATAATAAAAATAAATGTTTTTAAAAGAATAATCATTCAGACTTCTTTCTATGTACGCAAGCATGGATGTATGAGGGTGTTTATTCCAGCACTATTTATACTGGCAAAAAAATGGAAATTATCATTTGCCCACTTTAAGATATATATTGTTTTAATTTTTTACAATGAATATTGTAATGGACTGAATGTTTGTGTTCCCTCAAAATTCATGTGTTGAAATCCTAATCCCAAGGTGATGATATTAGGAGGTGGGGCCTTTAGGAGCCCTCATGAATGAGATTAGCGTCCTTATAAAAGAGACCCCAGAGATATCCCTCACCCCTTCCACCATGTCAGGATACAGCAAAAAGATGGCCATCTATGAAGGAGGAAGCAGGAACTCACCAGATACCAACTTTGCCAGTGCCTTGACCTTGAACTTCTCAGTCTTCAAAACCGTGACAAAATAAATTTCTGTTGTTTATAAGCCACCCAGTCTATGGTATTTTGTCATAGCAACCCCTATGGACCAACATGGACTTGCACAGTTGAAACAAAAATTAACAAGAGGGTGATGTATAGGCTGGTTGGCTTATAACCCAGAGAGCAGCCAGCCAGAGAGGCTCCCTGCCAGGCCACAGTGCAGGGGCCACTGCACCTGCCAAGCTTATGTTGTTCTTTCTTCTCCCACGTGTCATGTGAGCAGTAGAAATAGTATCTAGCAACTGTGACCACAAGTGGGGAATAGGGGACCTGCTTTACAGACCAAATGCCCAACTCTCTGCTGCTGTCTCCTTAGGGACAAAGGTCAAAAGCCCTGCTGAGGGCTTCCCTGGTGGCGCAGTGGTTGAGAGTCCGCCTGCCGATGCAGGGGACACGGGTTCGTGCCCCAGTCCGGGAAGAACCCGCATGACATGGAGTGGCTGGGCGCGTGGGCCATGGCCGCTGAGCCTGCGCGTCCGGAGCCTGTGCTCCGCAACGGCAGACGCCACAACAGTGAGAGGCCCACGTACCACAAAAAAAAAAAAAAAAAAAAAGCCCTGCTGATGCCAGGGGCTTGTCCCTCGAATCAGTCCATTACCTCCCAACATCCAGGCTTGTCTCTGGAAGCTAGGTTTTCTCTCTCTGGCTCAGCCTTCATGGGCTACCAGCCCATAATGACCACACACTCAGGACAGCATAAACAAAACCCTTGGATGAGAGAGCTGGGCTATGTTCTTGGAGCAATCTGGGGAAATAATACTCAAGTCCAACGTCTGGCTCTGTTGGGAGATTTACTTGCCTCATTATTCATGGTAGTGAATCTCTCTTTTTTTAAAAAATATTTATTTCTTTATCTGGCTCTGCTGGGTCTTAGTTGTGGCATGCGGGATCTAGTTCCCTGATGTTGACCTAAAAAAAAATGTACAATGTGAAAGTTGCAAGTTATGTTTTATTTGGGGCAAAATGAGGACGGTAGCCCAGGAGACCTCGTTTCAGATAGCTCTGAGAAACTGCTTGGAGGAGGTGAGGCGGGAGCCAGGTTGTATAGAAGTTTCATAACAAATTCTTCTAGCCCCTTAAATATCTTTTAAAATTGGGGTAAATAGAACAGACTTGTTTGGCTTTTAATTCTGGGGACCAGTAGGGGGTCCCTTTTGGCCCATTTAACCTTAGGTAGGTAGTGTAGTAATATCAAAACTTTGTGTTTTAATCACATAAATGTCCATTTTATTTATCCAATTTTAAATAACCATCTAAAGACTTCTTTATTCATTTGACATAATTCCTTTAAAATTTCTACCTTATTGGAAATAGTATCTAGACTTTCCTTACAGGATTTTTCATGTTAATATTAATTATTCTAATGCTTTTATTAGCATCTGTGAGACCCACTGAGGGAAAGTATAGACCACAAATGAAGCTTCCCAAACCAGTTTTTCTTACTTGTTTTAAGTTAAAGAAGTTCTTAGGTTAATAATCTGATATATTTCTTTCTTCCACCTTTAATTTGATTTTTTTGTTTGTTTTTATAGGTACCAATAAAACAACTGTTTATAATGAGAGTGCTAGATTGACCAATTTGTTAGTTTCTCCAACTTTAAAAGGATCCGTCGGGCTTCCCTGGTGGCGCAGTGGTTGAGAGTCCGCTTGCCGATGCAGGGGACGTGGGTTTGTGCCCCGGTCCGGGAAGATCCCACATGCCGCGGAGCGGCTGGGCCCGTGAGCCATGGCCGCTGAGCCTGCGCGTCCGGAGCCTGTGCTCCGCAACGGGAGAGGCCACAGCAGTGAGAGGCCTGCGTACCGCAAAAAAAAAAAAAAAAAAAAAAAGGATCCATCATTTGGCCATTCATAAAGTATATACATTTATAGTGATTCAAACCATTAAGATGCAAAGGCTTCCCCATAAGAGAGCAGGGGAGGATGTAACCTAAGTAAGATCTGGAGAGTTTACTCTCAAAAATAGTATGGCAGAGGTCAAATTTTCAAAACACGTACATACACACATAGACATACATGGAACGTCTTAGGAAGATCAGGTAGGACATTTACCTCTCAAAGACACAGAAAGAGAAATGCAAGTTTCCCCCAGAAGGCTTTTGTTTAAAGTCAGAATTCTGAAAAAATATTTTTATCAAGCGAGCTTCTTTTTTAATAAATTTATTTATTTATTTTTGGCTGCATTGGGTCTTCATTGCTGCACGCCGGCTTTCTCTGGTTGTGGCGAGCGGGGGCTACTCTTCGTTGTGGTGTGTGGGCTTCTCATTTCGGTGGCTTCTCTTGTTGCAGAGCACGGGCTCTAGGCGCACGGACTTCAATAGTTGTGGCACGTGGGCTCAGTAGTTGTGGCTCGCGGGCTCTAGAGCGCAGGCTCAGTAGTTGTGGTGCACGGGCTTACTTGCTCCGCGGCATGTGGGATCTTCCCGGACCAGGGCTTGAATCCATGTCCCCTGCATTGGCAGGTGGATTCTTAACCACTGAGCCACCAGGGAAGCCCAAGCCAGCTTTTTAACCTTAATTTAACTGTGTATGCAATAAAAGAGCCTCCTCATTCTTAGGGTGAGATTTCCTTTAATTTCCAGTTAAGTAAATACTAATTGTTATAGATCTGAAAACCCAGGCATGTAGGTCCAGACGGTTAACTCAAATTCCTTAGCAAATCCCAATGGATTCTGACTTAGATCAGGAAATTCCTTAGCCAAGGCTCTAAGTTCTGCTTGGGTCCAGGGTGTGTACGTAAGCAGAGAGGATGGTTCACTTCTCCCTGCAATAGGCTTCTCCTTAAAGGGAGCTATAATCACTTCTGATTTTTTATCCTCCTTTGCTGGGGAAGAGGGAACAGCAGGAGACAGAAGAGTTGGAAGAGAAAAAAAAATGGCATCTGGGTCAGGCAATTCTGATAGAAGAGGACATGTGGGAGGAGCAGAGGGACAGACAGAGTCAGAGACAGGGTGCTAGCGGCCTTTTTTAGTTCTGATATAGTTTCAAAAAGTTACTCTACCATTTTCTCTTTTAGAAGCTTCTAGGTACCAATCAATGGAAGCATTCATTCAGTCTGTTTGATCTTACGGCCGGCTTTTTTTTAACTGTGTGCACAACTATAGCAATTTGGGACTATCAGAAGAACCCCAATTTGGCTATTTTAGGTTGAGATCTCCTGTAGCATAATTTCTGCAATTAACTAGGTACTTGCAAGTCTGAGCTCCATACAGTGTTGTACATGAATCCGGCTGGGGTCTTAGTTGGAGGTTGCTTTTCTGACACCCTCGTTTTTGTGTTTGAGAGATTCTAGTTCCCTTTTAAGTTGAATTTGTCAGGGATAAAATTTACTAGTGAAATTGTGTGGTGGCCAGCGTGCTGCTTGTGAGCTTAACTCCTCTAGGCGTAACCCTAGAGTAGTTTCAGCCCCCTTATGTGTCTCAGTTTTTCCCTTCAGTGGTCTAAGACTACCGTGGGTGCTCAGATCGCTGAATGGCCAATTTTTATCTGTGACCCCTGGACAAGTAAGTGTTTTGATTAATGAGTGGGTTTCCCTATGGGACCGCTGCACGGTATGAGACCTTTGCCTCCATCACTCCTGTAAATTTATCAGTCTCCTGAGAAAGCCGTAACTGGCCGGGAGGAGTCTTGTCCCTTTTCTTTGGAGTAACACTCTCATGTAATATCTTCACTTTTATCCCGACAAATTCTATTAAGGCAGCTGAACTGAGGAAAAGCGTCAGATCAACCTCTTACCTAACCACTCAGCCAGGACCACTCAGTCTCCTACAACTGAGCAAACCCTGGTATCTTTCAGCCAGGCCCCCCCCAGTATCTTTCACCTGGGTGGCTTTTTGCCTGGTATCTTTCAACCAAGCCCCGCCCCCTCCCCCCACACAGTATCTTTCAACCGATTGGGAGCAGTTACCTTCTATACACCACCAAATAAAACTCAGGATCATCAACCAACACAGGAGATCCGAGAACCAGGAGAGACTTACCCAAATTCATCTGGACTCTCCAAGGAGGCAGACGAGTGCCAGGGGCCTCTGCTGGTACCAAGGCTCCAGTTCCTCGTAGAGTTCAGGTGAAGGAGAGAAGTCCACTCCGGATCCCTTCGTGGTCGCCGTGACTGTTGACAAAAAGAAAAAAAGCACAATGTGAGAGTTGCAAGTTGTTTTATTTGAGGCAAAATGAGGACTGTAGCCCAGGAGACAGCATTTCAGATAGCTCTGAGAAACTGCTACAAGGAGGTGACGGGGAGAGCCAGGTTATATAGAAGTTTTATAACAAAAAGCAGGTAGTCTGAATATCAAAAGATTATTGTTAATAAAGAAAACCAGATATCTCAAGTTAAGGAATTTAGCAGTTTTCTATGTATGGGGACATGCAAGAGTCTGGGCTCACTGAAATCATTCCATTGATATGCACCTCAGCTAGTTGGGCCAGTATCCCATGTTTTCACATCCTGAGTTTCCACAGGGCTGCAGTCTGATGGCTGCTAGATGGCAGGTGTTCTTTTTTTTTTAATTTAATTTATTTTTTTTTAAAGACCCAAGCTCCCCGATGGCTTTTGGGGGAAGGGTTTTTCTTTGAATTTAATTTATTTGTTTGTTTATTTATTTATTTTTGGCTGCGTTGGGTCTTGTTGCTGTTTGCAGGGTTTCTCTAGTTGGGCCGAGTGGGGGCTACTCTTTGTTGCGTTGCACAGGTGGCTTCTCATTGCTGTGGCTTCTCTTGTTGCAGAGTACAGGCTTCAGGTGCGCGGGCTTCAGTAGTTGTGGTGCATGGGCTCAGCAGTTGTGGCTCATGGACTCTAGAGCGCAGGCTTAGGTGTTGTGGCGCACAGGCTTAGTTGCTCCACAGCATATGGGATCTTCCCGGACCAGAGATCAAACCGTGTCCCCTGCACTGGCAGGTAGATTCTTAAACACTGCACCACCAGGGAAGTCCCGCATGTATTCTTTTCAGCCCTGGGCTTCCTCAGGGCTTACCGGCTCACATTGGAGGGCTGCAATCATTGACGACTGTGAATCCTTTCTTTAAATATTCCATTTATCACTGACCCAGGCCCCCTGTAGTGCAAGCATGGAATCCTAACCACTGGACCACCAGCAAATTCCCAACCTCTCTTTGATAATGATCTCCCAGACAAATATTAACTCAGCCGTGGATAGAATGTTAGGAATACTTCTTGCCTTCAAAGACCTGACAATGTATAATTACAAGTTCAAAAGAGATAAGTACCTGCAATTTAGGGTTCTGTAGAGACCAAGAGGGCCCTAAATGCTTCCATTCTGGGTGGCTCCCAGTTCATTACCCAATGAAGGGATGCTGAAATAGGTTTACAAAAATTATAGTACGTTCTAAATGTTTACATTAAACAAAATTTAAAAAAAAGTTTTATTTTATTTTTGGCTGCCTTGGGTCTTCATTGCTGCATGCAGGCATTCTCTAGTTGTGGTGAGCAGGGGCTACCCTTCGTTGTGGTGTGTGGGCTTCTCATTGTGGTGGCTTCTCTTGTTGCGGAGCACGGGCTCTAGGTGCGCGGGCTTCAGTAGTTGTGGCACACGGGCTCAGTAGTTGTGGCTCGCGGGCTCTAGAGCACAGGCTCAGTAGGTGCGGCATGCAGGCCCTAGAGTGCTCGGGCTTCAGTAGTTGTGGCGCATGGGCTTAATTGCTCCACGGCATGTGGGATCCTCCTGGACCAGGGATCAAACCGTGTCTCCTGCATTGGCAGGTGGATTCTTAACCACTGTGCCACCAGGGAAGTCCTAAGCAAACTCTTTTATTTTTTTTATTTTTATTTTTTAACATCTTTATTGGGGTATAATTGCTTTACAATGGTGTGTTAGTTTCTGCTTTATAACAAAGTGAATCAGTTATACATATACATATGTTCCCATATCTCTCCCCTCTTGCATCTCCCTCCCTCCCACCCTCCCTATTCCACCCCTCCAGGCGATCACACAGCACCGAGCTGATATCCCTGTGCCATGCAGCTGCTTCCCACTAGCTATCTACCTTACATTTGTTAGTGTATATATGTCCATGCCTCTCTCTCGCCCTGTCACAGCTCACCCTTCCAGCAAACTCTTTTAAAACACACATATATCACAATGCAATTATGCTAGTCACAAGATTATGGGAATTATAAAAATACTCACGCACAAGAGGCCACAGGCTGCGCGGCCAGGTAATGGGACAGAAGTTCATAGTTGTCTGATGGATATCTTCTTTCACTCCTGCCTGGGAATATCAGCCACAGTAGAGAATGTTTGGTGCCTCCCCCTGAATGGCCGTTCTCTGTCACATCACACACCTGGTTTTCATCTCCACACTTACCTCCATCAGATATAGTCTTATTGGCAAAACAAACAAACAAACAAAAACATGGAGACTTTCCTGGTGGTCCAGCGGTTAAGACTCTGCGCTCCCAATGCAGGGGACTCAGGTTCGATCCCTGCTCGGGGAACTAAGATCCCGCAAGTCCCCGGGATGGCCAAAAAAAAAAAAAAAAGTCTCATTTGTTTCCTGATTTGCTGAATGCCCCCTTTAGAATAAGAGTGCCACAAGACAGAGATCTCTGTCCACTTCACCCCTGACTGGCACATGGTAGGCACTCCGTAAATTTTGGTTAAATGAATGGATATATGATATCCTCATTTATAAGAACTCATTTATGTTCACATAAATGAGGCTACCCCCACACACACACAGTTGGATTTAGTGATAAGAGAGACTAAATTCCCTAGGGCATGATATTTCCCGGGGCAGATTAGTAGATCAATGGTGTCCCTGGCCCCTGGCCCCCTATGAATTCAGGGAGGTGATATTTGAGCTGGATTTAGGGTGATGAGTGTGGTGGGGATTTGTGGGGAAATCCATCTGCCCTTCTCTCTGAAGGACATTATGAGAGAAAAGGCTGTTCAAGAGACTATTGCTAAGTGAAAAAGCAAGGTTCAGAAGTGTTTCTCTAAAATGATCCCATTTTTGCAAAAATCAATAATGTTACTACTTATAGAAAAGGTTGAGGAATACACACCACGTTGTTGATGGTCTTGACTCTGCAGAAGAGAGCATTTTAGGGAGATTTTACTTCTCTTTTTTTTTTTTTTTTTTTTTTTTGCGATACGCGGTCCTCTCACTGCTGTGGCCTCTCCCGTTGCAGCTCCGGACGCGCAGGCTCAGCGGCCATGGCTCACAGGCCCAGCTGCTCCGCGGCATGTGGGATCTTCCCAGACTGGGGCACGAACCCGTGTCCTCTGCATCGGCAGGCGGACTCTCAATCACTGCGCCACCAGGGAAGCCCGATTTTACTTGTCTTGCTTTGGGTTTATATAGTGCTTAAATTTTATGTATTATGTCATGCATATTTGTTATCAGTAAAAAAAAAAAAGATAAAAAATAACCTTACATTGAATTGTCTTACAATGTTTCATATGCTTTCCTTTTTCCTTTCTTCATAGAGACTTGTTTTGTTTTCAGATGAGTCAAGATGATCAATTACAGGAATGCTCCCAGGAGCCTTTGAATTATGCAGCGTTCATTTGTCTTCAAGCAGAATGCCCCCAGACTGCAGGACTTTGAGTTGATTTTAGGATGTACAAAAGAAAACATATATCAAGAAGCATAATAAACTGTGAACTTGCTGCTCAATTTAGGAATTAGAACATTACTGATAATGTGTCCTTCTCTGTCCCATCCCCTGAGTCCCCACCAGAGGAAACCACTATTCTAAATTTTGTATTCAGGGAATTCTCTGGCAGTCCAGTGGTTAGGACTGTGCGTTTCCGCTGCTGGGGCCCTGGGTCTGATCCCTGATCAGGAAACTAATTCCCACAAGCTGCAGCGTGGCCAATAATTAAATAAATAAATTTTGTGTTCAATATTCTTCTCTTTTTATTGTTACTCCCTTTTAAAAAATAATTTTTGGCCTCTCACCTTCTGAGATGACCCAAACTCTGTCTGTGGAGTGTGTTTTTCCCAAGGCTGTTCTCGCCTTTTGAGATGGACTGAATTCTGTCTATGGAATGTGTATCTCTCTAAATAAATCCACTTCTTACCTAAGGAAAGTTTTTTAAATATAAAATACAACATAATTTTTATGATAAATGCATACATCTTTGATCAATGTATTTGTAAAAATTCATCAAGCTGTATAACTACAACCTGTGTACTTTCCTATCTGTATGTATGAACATCCATCAAAAGTTAACAATAAAAAGAGGACGGGGGGGCTTCCCTGGTGGTGTAGTGGTTGGGAGTCCGCCTGCCGATGCAGGGGACGCGGGTTCGTGCCCCGTCCGGGAGGATCCCACGTGCCGCGGAGAGGCTGAGCCCGTGAGCCATGGCCGCTGAGCCTGTGCGTCCGGAGCCTGTGCTCTGCAACGGGAGAGGCCGCGGCGGTGAGAGGCCCGCGTATCACAAAAAAAAAGAAAAAAAAAAAGAGGGCAGGTGCTCAGATAGTTCTGCCCTAAGACCAATGTAGGAGGAACCCCTGCCCTGGGCTCTGCTTTAGAAGACCCTGCTTAGTGGCAAGTCCCCAGAGCCCAAGGGATGAGCCCACCCAAAGCCCGTGGCCCAACCTCTCCACCTTGTTCCAGGGGGACTCTGAAATTTCTGGCCCCTATACTCTGAGTCAACTTCCCAAGCCTTCCCGGGACTCTTCCTGAGTCCATTCTTCTGAATATTGACTGTCTTGCTGGTGTGTGGGCCCCTAAGCCAGAGGAGCAGCCAAGGGCTCTTTTTTTTTCTTTCTTTAAAGAATGTCACGGGGCTTCCCTGGTGGCGCAGTGGTTGAGAGTCCACCGAGTCCGCCTGCCGATGGAGGGGACACGGGTTCGTGCCCCAGTCCGGGAAGATCCCACATGCCGCGGAGCGGCTAGGCCCATGAGCCATGGCCGCTGAGCCTGCGCGTCCGGAGCCTGTGCTCCGCAACGGGAGAGGCCACAACAGTGAGAGGCCCGCGTACCGCTAAATAAATAAATAAATAAATAAAGTGCCAAAGAAACATAAATGATTATTTAAAAAAAAAAAAAAAGAACGTCACGGATGATTTCTCCAGAGGGTTCTTCCTTTTCTTTCCTTTTTTAAATTTTTTAAATTTATTTTTTGGCTGCGTTGGGTCTTCGTTGCTGCGCACAGGCTTCTCAAGTTGCGGCGGGGGGGGCTACTCTTCGTTGCTGTGCGCGGGCTTCTCATTGCGGTGGCTTCTCTTGTTGTGGAGCACGCGCTCGAGGCACGCGGGCTTCAGTAGTTGTGGCGCGTTGGCAGGCTGGTTCTTAAACACTGCGCCCACCAGGGAAGTCCAGGGCTCTCTTTGTAGGAAGCGTGACTAGCTCCTAGACGCGGAGGCTGGCGTGCCCACACCTGTGTGCATGAGGCTCTAGGTGCGGAAGAGCAGTAGAGGTGGGAAGAGGAGAAAGGGGGAAAGGCTGCAGGCCAAGAGCCGACTCTCCTCCAAATGCCACCTCTAGTTTGGAACTCCAAAGAATCAAAGAACTGTACATTTAAACCTGGACTTCCAAGCTATTATAAAGTTGTGTTTGTCAAGATGGGAGAATAGAAAAATATTTGACTTAACAGTTTGTTTGCTTGAATTTTAAGTATTGAGACTCAGGTGTATGAATCTCCAGTGGTACTCTAGTTCCAGGTCCTGCAAATGTTAGGGATGAGGCTGTGCCCGGGGCCCACTCCCAGAGGGGATGTGGCCCAAGGATTTCTTTTTTCTTTCTTTCTTTTTTTTTTTTTGTGGTATGCTGACCTCTCACTGTTGTGGCCCCTCCCGTTGTGGAGCACAGGCTCCAGACGCGCAGGCTCAGCGGCCATGGCTCATGGGCCCAGCCGCTCCGCGGCACGTGGGATCTTCCCGGACCAGGGCACGAACCCGTGTCCCCTGCATCGGCAGGTGGACTCTCAACCACTGCGCCACCAGGGAAGCCTCTGAGGATTTCTTAAAAGCCCCTCAGGTGATTCTCATGTGTAGCCAGAGTTGAGAACGTCTGTTTTAAGATATCTTTTGATTAGTGTTTTTTTTTTTTTTTTTTGGCTGCATTGGGTCTTTGTTGCTGTGCGCGGGCTTTCTCTAGTTGCTGTGAGCGGGGTCTAGGTTATTTTTCATACCTAATATTTAAACTAATTCATTCTTTTTTTTTTGGCTGCGTCGCCCAGCTTTCGGGATCTTAGTTCCTAACCGTCAGAGAATTCCCTAAACTACTCCATTCTAAATGTACACTTTCAGGGGGAGTTCCCTGGTGATCCAGTGGTTAGGACTTGGCACTTTCACTGCAGTGGGCCTGGGTTCGATCCCTGGTCAGGGAACTAAGATCCTGCAAGCCGTAATGAGGGAAGAAATATTAAACACCTATCAAAAAATAATTTATTCATTTAAAAAACAACAGAATCGGGCTTCCCTGGTGGCGCAGTGGTTGAGAGTCCGCCTGCCGATGCAGCGGACACGGGTTCGTGCCCCGGTCCAGGAAGATCCCACATGCCGCGGAGCGGCTGGGCCCGTGAGCCATGGCCGCTGAGCCTGCGCGTCCGGAGCCTGTGCTCCGCAACGTGAGAGGCCACAACAGTGAGAGGCCCACGTACCGCAAAAAAAAAAAACCAGAATCAGTGAACATGCAAAATTAAATTACTTTTGTAGACTTTGGTAATATTTTATTACCTACACAGACCTCAATCTTACTTAAAGATCTTTTTATGCAAAGTCACCATCAGGATTTACTGAGTAAAAATCGTGGGTATTCACATGGCCCTAAATGTCCTATTCCAAAGAGGAACAGGTGACTTTTGAGGAAAAGAACTGCCTTGGTAACCTCCCTCAAATACTTATTTTAAATGAGCATAGTTAATGGAAATATTTTGTAAACCACCTTTGGGTACTACAGAGCACAAGGCCCACCAAACAGAAAAGGAAATCAAAACTTTCTTTCCTTATTCAGGAAACTTTCCACCTTTACTTTTAAGATTACAAGCTTTTCACCTTTTTTTGACTGCTTCATGCAATTTTTAAATTTTTTAAAATTCTGCATTTCGGTGTTGTAAGAGTTCTTTTTCAAATGATCTTCAGAACACAGACAACAGAGCAACACTTTCAAGTCATATTGTTTGACAGTGATGAAGAGATGAAAATGGACGGATGTCCGAAAAGAGGTATTCCCTCTGCTCCAAAGGTGAGCAAACTTTTAACATGTGAGCAACACAGAACTCCATTCCTCTGGTGATCCCTCAAACTCAGAATGCTTCCATTTAATAAGTCGATATATTATTCTTTTTTAAAATTTTATTTATTTATTTTTGGCTGCGTTGGGTCTTCATTGCGTGCGGGCTTTCTCTAGTTGTGGCGAGTGGGGGCTACTCTTCGTTGCAGTGCGCGGGCTTCTCATTGTGGTGGCTTCTCTTGCTGCGGAGCACGGGCTCTAGGCACACGGGCTTCAGTAGTTGTGGCGCACAGGCTCAGTAGTTGTGGCTCATGTGCTTAGTTGCTCCGCGGCATGTGGGATCTTCCTGGACCAGGGCTCGAACCCGTGTCGCCTGCATTGGCAGGCGGATTCTTAACTACTGCGCCACCATGGAAATCCCTGATATATTATTCTTAAAAATTAAAGTTGGATCACTAGGAAAGACTGAACAAAAGTTATTCCCCTTCCCCCCAAAACGGCAACAAAACAGCTTTAATCACCTCCTTCTCTCCCCACAAAAACAGGGAAGTAGTTGGGGTTGAAGCCTTTAAATCTGAAATTTCAGCTCCTAAAACATTGCTGGTCTTTGCTCAGAAGTGCAAGTCCACATATTTTCTTCTCCAATATTTCCCCCATTTTTAAGTTTATTTCCATACATGCATGCATGCACACACCCACACATACTCACTCACACGTGCTCTTAGTCTCAAGTGAGACATTTTTTTTGTGTCTGTTGATAAATTATGAGGATTATGAACTAGGTGTGTACAGGATTTCAGAGGTGCTTTGTCAACATGAGTCACTTGAGTCCTTTTCTCCAAAAGCCTGAAATCAAATTACACAGCTGAAACTGTTAGGTGTCCTTTTGGGGGGCTCCGAAGAGCTCTGGTCCTTTATGTCTCAGCACAGAAAGAATTCAGTGAGAGGCAAAGTGATAGATAAGAAGTGATTTATTAGAATAGGATGCTATGAGGCTTATAAGCGGGCAAGCGAGAGGATGCTGCCCGGGAGAACTTAGTGGGCTACACTTTTATAATCAAAGGAAAAGTGGGGAGGAGGAAAAGACCACCTTCTGCCTCATTGTTGGGTAGATGTCATGCTTCCATCATTAGCTCCTCCTCCAAGTTGGGCAAGGGAGTTTTCTTGTCCCTACATGGTCAAGCTAGGGCTGTCATGGCACTATGGAAAAATTATCTTAGGTTTTAGTATAATGAGGGTCTTTCACTTTGAAATGTCACCTTTCCATAAATTATTATTTTTAATGTGTGCAGAGAGCATGTCCTAGGGGTCACTAACTTACTGAGCTCACTGGGCAGGATGTGGGTCTCATGCCACCATTATTTTATTGTTTTGGGGCATGTCTCGTGCTTCTGTTGCATAGTTTTGTTGCTAAGCAAGCCTGCTTGGTTTCGTGCATAAGCAAACCTGCTTTCTTGAGTGATCATTAACTTAGGGGGGGTCTCCCATACTTTTTTCTTTACTTACAATCCCCTAGTGGGATTGACTATTTAATTACCTAAATTTGTCCCTTTATTCTGTCCCTATCACAACCAAGGATCACTACTTTCCCAGATGCTGTTCACAGGCTGCATATTGACGAAGGGCAGAGAAAAAGTCCTCATAACTGATGTTTAGGTGGGAAGGCAAAGAGACAATCTCTGTCAGGCTGATGTGCCAGGGCAGAAAGCCTAGTGCGCTGTCCTCAGGACTAAACTTCAGTATTAAATCAGGACCATGGGCACCATTCGAACTAAATAAACGGTCTGATATATCTACATCCAAATCTGTGGATTTCTTTTGCTGCTGGGCTACTGACTGGCAAAAGTCTTGAGCAGCTCTCACCATATCTGCTTTTGCATCTTCTGGGGACAGCACCTTGACTGCCGAATGGCGATCTTCGTCATTACGATTTGCAAATTCTGGTGAGTATTTGGAACCATCTATGTCCAGAAGTTCCTGCTGTTGTTTTAAGATTTCATCCGTCAATCTGGAGTTATTTCTTTTGAAAATTCCTTTGTGGTCGTAGACGCTGATGTAAGAGGTGCCCACTGCCATACGTCACACCACGAGGCTTGCGATGTCGGAGA